GTGCAGAGAAGAGAAACGACCTGCGGAGTCACTGGCTGACACTGTGAGTCCAGACAAGGCAGGCGAAGGAAATTCCAGGAACTGTCGGGGGCTCCTTGACTTGCTTTGTATTTGACTGCTGGAGCAGCAGGGATCCAACAAAAGCTCGTGTGTAGCTGTCCCGCAGGACAGCTTCTAGCTACATGGGGAGCTATTATAGCTTAATTCCTGATACTAATTGGAATGTTTCCAAAGTATTGACACAAGCATGATATAAAACCACATAGGTAATCTCTACCTTTCATTTGATCTATATAGAAGCAGGGAGACAGAAGAATGGGTTTTGGAGACGCATCTCTCTTTGAGAGAAGCAGTGGCTGGCCCAGTGAATGCTGAAGAACACAGCTGAGGGCACTGTGCGCCTTAGGGCACTCCTCTCTCTCTTCTGCCAGTGCACAGATGCGTTTCTACAGCACGGTGCTTCCCCAACTATCACTTTATTGCACCCTGTGCCCTCTGACTTCCTCCATTCCACCATCTGAGTGACACATATATAAAAGAGACTCCACTGGAGGCCACATGTATTGTCCGGGGATTTGTCCTTTCTTTTTAACACAGAACAAAACTCAAGTTTCTTCCCCTTCACGATTTCACTGCCAACACTATCACTTGAATATCACATGGCTCACCTCCACAGTGACATGCAGGATACACTAAATGTTACAGGAGATGCCACAAGAAAACTCCAGCCCTCCCAGCAGACAGTAGGAAATTGACCATTACCATTCCCTGGTGACTAGTGGGCATGCTGAGACAGTAATTTGCATTTTCTATGCTTATTTTTCTATTACTAAAGTGGGATTAAGAGTGTTCAGCAACAGCTTTTGAGACCTACAAATTCTTCCTGTTATGGAACAGCATCCCGAAGACCTATTTTTCTCTAAATTAAAAAAAAATCTTTCATAATCTTTCATTATTCCAATATAATTCTTACATTCTTAAATTCTAAAATCTGCTAACCAAGCACATAGCACAATAAGCATTTTAGACACTACCAAAATACTAATAATTGGAACAAAATTGTGGTTTTTGTGGTTTACTTTGTTCCCTAACAAATTTTGGGGAAAAAAAAAAAAATTTTCCTACAACCTTTTTCGCTTTCAAGTACATTTTAAGAAAAAAATCTATTTTCAGTACCAGCAAAATTCATCATATTCTGACAGGAAAGCAAAATTGTTTCATTTCATAAGATCTTCTAACAGCATGAAGCTAACCCCATGGTCTCTGAGACAGAAATTCTGCCAGCTATAGACTTAGAAAGAATCAGCAGAGAAAAAGAAGTTTCTCAGATGGAACTGTTAGTCATGATATGAAGAATGTGTGTCCCCTACAGATGTTATAGCTATTTATATGATAAATCCTGATCATCACTATAGGAATTTTACAGCCTTCTTTTAAGTTAATGCTCAAGTTCAAATTAATCTTCTTTTGACAATGTTTGCCTAATATTTCAGTGTTGAACAACATTTCCAGGGTTACATTTAGAGTGAGTCTACTTTTAAAGCTGTGTTACAGACTTTTTACTTGCTTCAGAAAGACTTCTTTTAATTCTTCAATACTTCACAAATATTTCTAGGAAAGACAAGTACAAGAAGCATTGATAAATGCTTAACAAGGGGACATCTAGACTTGAAAGTTAACTGGAATTAACATTAGGGTTAATTTAGAGCACACGACAGGTTGTAGAACAGCTCCCTGGAAGAAAATATTCGCTTTAGAATAAAATTACCTCATTCGCACATTCAACACTTGAACTGTTTTGAGTAACATGAGATAAACGAGAACAAAGCATGTTTGTTCCAGTTTGCGGGATCATTGGTTTACTCAGGAATCACAGTCTGGGGAATTCAAAACGAAATGAGGGATATGAAAATACCTTAAGGTGTCTCCAAGGAACTCAAGGTTGCATAAATATAGTCATTGGTGTCAAATGGCAGCAGCCCTTTTAAAACCAACGCTACATTTACACGCTTCAAAGGCCCACGTTATGAAGAACATGGTGCTACACAGGGCACTGCAAACCCCTTCCCCCCCATACCAGAGAAAGATTTTTTTACGAGGATGCCTCTCTGCCATCACCAGCGCATCCTTCCACACCCTGCCTACACCCTGGGTTCACTCAGAGGCAGCGGGAGGTCTGGGCTTATTGTCTGGTTCTGGAAAGGGATGGCAACTCTTTGGTGCGGAAACAAAACCAGGGATGTTTTATCTGGGTGATACATGTTGACTTGATCTCAATATCTCCACTTCTCCTCTGCTCTCACATATTGGGATCAAAAGATCAACTCTAAGTGCGTGCGCTGTCTTGACTATCAAGAAAAGCTTCTTGGTGGAAGGACCGAGTACTGTCCCTACAGAGGGAAGGCTGCTGTACTTTTCACAAAAGTAAGGGTTTTTTTCAGCCTTGGCGTTGCAGGCCATGAAATGCACTTTGAGGCTACAGAGTTTCTGTGAATTCTTTTTTCTTAAAATGCCATTTTAATTGTGTGCTTAATCTGTTTTTTTCACTGTCTTTTAACATCTACCCTTGGTTGTTACCTGAAACCTGTGCTGAAAGAGGCAGCACTGGTAAGACTGAGGCGTTAAACCTCCACAATTCTCAGTTCCAAGTACAGCAGTTGGGGCAAAGAATAAAATGAGACCAGGAGACCAGGCTGGCCTGGCCAGCTGCATGCATTGGCAATCCACAGTGGATCACTAGGTCAGGAGCCTTAAACACCTTGGGGGTGGCCAGGGTCCCATGACAGGAAAGCCTGAAACTATTCCAACCAAAGACTTCCCCAGGGATTCCGGGGAAAGGGATCACGAGCAGATGATGAAAGTGAGGCTCTGCAGAAAAAGAAGGAATAAATCTAAGAAATTCCGCAGCCCCAGACCTTCCCATACTGTATCCCCGGTGGTATACAAAGTACTTTGACGTCCTCGGTACCTGCTGATGTCACACCCAGCAAAATAACGTTAATCACCTGCTGCAGAGTTCTGGTATGCATCCAGAGAATACTTAGGTGCAGCAAAAAAAGTGGAGACAGAGAAGATCCTGGGTCTTTTACTGCTCGTTTACATTTATATATTTTTGTGTGGTCTCCCGTAAATGGTCTTTACTTCCAAATCCTTCTGCAACCTCTCTGTGCTCTTGGGGAGATAAAACTGCATCAGGCGCTCACAGGGCCAGAGCTCTGGCCTTATAAGAACAGTGCCTACGAGTGCCTTCAGCAGAGCAGGGCAGGGAGAGCAACTCGAGTCCTCTGGTCTTGGGGCAGCCGGGCTTTCCAACACCTCCACATGAGAAATACGAGACAAACTGTGCCCAGAACATGGACCCAAGCTCAAGGAAAACAAGCCTGTGGAGCCCGCACAGACAAAGAGGAGACATTAAAAAGCTGATGCTCACCCTGCAGAGTCCAAGCACGGAGGCCTGGTGACACCTACTGAGGCGGCATTCGCCATGGCTGCAATATCTTGTATCGCTGCTCTCCGCTCCCTGGGAAATCCCACACCCTGCCTTCACTGCCAAGGGTACCTAACAGGAGAGCTGCTTCAAAAGAGAAAGTCAATAACTGTTTGTAGTTTAATCCACCAAGCAAATCAAAGTTCTGCAGAGAGCACTTTCCCCTCAACAGAAAAGTGAGACATTTGACATTCTGCTTCACACCCTAGTTTTGGTGACTTTACTAAAAGAAAGGGGGTAACGGCAGACAGTGCGTGAAGCTATCCCCCCACGTAAAACTGTTTGGTCGAGATCCAAGAAGCAACTTAGCACAGAGTTCATTCAAGCAATATTTAAAGCAAGTAACCTCAAACTCAGAGACTAAAATCATCATAGAAGCAAGATGACTCAAGTATACAAGACGTAGGAATTGGCTATATAAAGGCTTCCTGCTAGATATAGTTCCAAAGATAAAATCTAATGTGGGAAAAAAAAGCTACGTAATACCTCACGTTTCAAACCCAAATCATGTTGTAACTGGGATAAAAGGAAACATGCTATTTCATACGTACTCTGATTAATATATATTGTAAAATTTCTATCATTATAAGCAATTATAATCATTGCATTAAGCAAGCCATATAGAAGATAACATTGGCCTAAATACAAAATTGCCATAATATCACGTTTCCTGCTTAAAACAGTCTTTTTCATCTTAACAAAAAAATTTACTTTGAATGACCTTTTCAGGCAACGGACATTTCAGCTAGTTTCAGGACAACAGCCTATTCTTAATTTACTATTGTTTAACTTTAAGGAACACCCAGGAATAGTTAACTGAATAAAAACCAGTCTGGTATTAGGTTCTCTCTTTTTTCCCCAACTGTTCCCCTGTTTGCTGTCCTGTGTTTTTTGTCTTGTTAGATACACATTAACCTGTTAGACTGACCTTCACTTCCCTCCCAATCCCTACAACACATTAAAATTCTTTAAAAAGACAACTTGAGAGAGACTGCCTTTTGGTAAACCTCCTAAAGCGAGCTCCACAGACTGGTCTGGCATGCGTTGTGTACATGCATCTGTCACGAAAATTTGATGACAAATCATCCGTTTCCTGACAGATAGGCTGCACTGACTTCAAATTCCCATGAAATGTCTTTGTCCACCAGGAAGAAAAACATTCTCCTTTAAAGCAGTGATCATTCTCAAACTTCACTTCAATCCTCCATTTCCTTTAGTCTGTATTATCATTTATTTGTACTATAATTGTTCTGGATCAATTAAAGCCTGTCGCAAGAAAATCTTCCTGATCATCTTTTGGGAAAATGTAAAGAGACAGGAACTAATGAAAGGAATGAAAGCAAATGTTTCACAGTAATAATGCTGTTTTCAGAGGGTGAGAAATGAAGATCCTTTTTAAGACTGACCTACCCCAGTTTGTTTAAAACTAAACTGAACTTGAACTGATAAACTACTCTTTTGAGATTAACCTGAATAGAGTACATTCAGCAAAACACTGTAAATCTAAACATACCTGAATTGGAGTCAAACTTTGTTTCTGACCTGCAAAGGAAAATAAAAAGATCGTAAGTTACAAGAACTGCTTTATGCCATCAAAGCCATTTGTCAGACTGATTCCCCCTCAGCAAATACCGTCTTTAACAAGACTGTCTACCTCTGTATGTTAATATTTAACGCGTTCAAATGCATTTGAACCCAAATAATAACTATTATCTTTAGTATTTGGGGGTTTTTTACAATGTGGAGTTACAAAGAAGATATTTTAAAGGACAAATCACAAAATGAATGCAGAAAATAGAACATAAATTTAAAACAGGATTAAATTATATGCTGTGAATCATGGTACACAGTTGTTCCTATGAAATAAATATTGTTTTCATTCATTTTCATTTTTGAAAAGTCATTAAGAGGATTTAATTTATTCATGAATGTTTCCAATCTATTTTTGAAGCAGATACCGTTTCATTAATGTCATATGTATTGTATCCAATGATCTGTACTTAATTGTACAACATCGTAGGAGGGTTTTGTTTGCGTGTGTCTTCAATTTACTCACTCTGCACATAGGAATAAGTGGTTTGATTTTCTTAAAAGTGGAAAGCGGGGGGTGGGAGAGAGGGATAGAGGAAGGGAGCCAGACCCAAATTTTAACTTGTTTTAAAGTCTTTGCAAAAAGACAATAATGTGTGCATTATGCACCATTAGCTTTGGTCGTGCACTGCAGATTTTTCTCTTTCTAACAAGTAGTGTTTTCTTCTAAGGGCTTAGCATTTAGCAAATGAACCCTATAACCTGTATATTTAATAAAAGGAAGAAAAAATTAGCCCTTGTGGGAACATCATGTTTCAGATATAGGTTAATAATGCTTGTAAATGTAGAAGCCTTTGAAGATCTCAATTCAACTGTGGGAAAACTTAAGTTGGGTAATTACTCTCAAGATGCTGCTGATGTGCTGTCAAGCAGAATTAACCCTATGACTAGGCCTATCTACACAATCTCCTGTAAGACAGCATTGTCTATATCGAGCTCTCAAACCAATTAACGGGCATGTTCCAATCAGATTTATATTGCCCACTAACAATCAGTTGTACACATGGTCATGGCTGTCACAGCAGGACACAAGGTCTGACCAGCAGGAGACCTGTTAAAGGATGTTACGTTGGCAGCAAAATGCATTTCCCCAGAAATTCTAAGGAGGAAGTACAATGTTGGATCCTTTTACATTGCATCAAGGAGGGGATGTATTTTGGGAAGTTACAGTCCTTCTTTTTTCAAAAATAAATGACCAAAGCTCAAGAACTAATTGCAGATTTATTTTCTTCTTTTATTTTATGAGCTTGTACATACAGGTACGTGTAGATGTATTTCACACGTACTCTATATATTTTATATAATTGGCATTGTAATCCCATATCAAAGATCTCTGCTACAGCAAACAAATATCAGATCAATCACGATTTAAACTATGAACAAGTTCACACTATTCATTACAGTTAAAGCCATCAGAAAGGAAACAAATCCCTTCACCTTTCCTGCTCACTCTCCACCTTCCCCCAGTGCTCACAATCTTTTATGTCTTAAATATAACCTTCAGGTGGAGAAAAGATGGAAGGGAAAAAACATAACTTATCTTCATAATTGGTACTTATAAAGTAGCACCAAAAGCACTGAACAAAGAAAGTATGTTGCTGATGTGCCTTCACGAATACCACCACCAATAACTGCCCAGGGCACCAGCCCATGCTCCTGTTTGGCAGTGGATTTCAGTTGGTATTTACACCCAGCAGGATAAAGTCCCCACCTTGCAAAAAGTGCCTGCTGGTAACTGACGGGAATTCCACTGAGTTCCAGGTAAAGCCACTTACTCAGTACTTTATATACAATATTCTCCTCAAGCTGCAGTGTATCTGTCTAGACTGTTCTCTCTTGCTCATCACTGTATCAGCAACACCTCACTACCTACATAGTCGAAGACGACATACGAAATCTTACCCTCAGTGTCTGTTTATCTGCACAATCAACTTCTCTCTGCCTAAATTCTAGATACTTGGTATTAGCTGGTCAAACAAAGACCCTGGTTCTCGGTGTGCATGGCTTGGCATGGACATATGCACTGCAACTTGCGGCATCAACAAACTGGCCCAGGGGCCAAGATGGCAGAGAGTACATGGGGAGGAGGGTCACAAGGGTCACTGGGCACTGTAATGAGTACCAAAGCTCCAAACAGTCATAAATTACTGGACAACAAATCCGAAAACTGATACGGGGTGATAAATGAATAGAACTTTGTCTGGCAACAGCAGAATAGCTATGAAAGAAAACACGACATGGGAGGTAGCCCTAGGAGCCATCAAGAAGAGGAAGGTCACCTACGTTATGGCCACCACGTCACCTTGGGAAAACAATGCAAAATTTAGGACACAGTATTACAGAAATTGTTAGAGAAGGGCACATAAAAAAGGGAGGAAAATAATGAAGTGTCTTTGGCATTGCAAATAAGCATCAAGTAGCAGATGTGAGAGAAGCACTCTGCAAGAACACAAAGTCATCTTGACTACTTGAAGGAATGACAAAGTTTACAGCAATTTCAATTGAACCAGCACTTTTCCCCCTAGATCTTCCAGTATTTACATCTTTTTCTTGACAGCACACTAGACAAAGGTATCAGAAACTAGTTACACACAGGTGTTAAAAATATACAACTAAGAAATGGCCAATAAATAGGATAAAATTAAATGCTCAAAGTACGTTCCAAAGGGATATTCTGCTACACACAAAAATATTCACTCTGACTCCTTTATGCCTGTAAAACTACATTTACTAGAAGGAAAAACTTCTCTGTACACTCTTTGTTAACATTGGATATAGTCTGATATCCAACCTAAGCATCCTACCAACAAGATGCACCTTACAGAGCCAGGCACTGACTTCACAAACTATCTTTTATCATTTATCACACCAAGAGTGGAAGAAAAACCACAACAAACAGAGAGTAGCTTCGTGCATATTTTCTCTACTTTTGCCCCATAAGAGTACTCTGAAAGTCAGGGAATCATTCATAAATATCTTTGGGAAGGAGTTTATATGCATAAAGAGGGCAAGAAGGTATTTATAAAGTGCTTTCCAATTCCAACTGTGATATAAGTCAAATACACACAACACATGGCAATACTAATGCCAAGTAGCTCAACTACCAACACACGATATGCAAGGAAATAGTGAGCTACTGGAAAGGTTTAGCTAAGGACAAGGTGCTGCAACACTTTTAAAGATCCCAGAAATAACTAAATCAAACACAAACAATAAAATATATGATGGTCACTTTATCGGTACTGCAAAGAGGGGCAGTTTGACCTGTTCCTTTTAAAAGGCACCATAAACCAGATGCTCAGACTGCCAGTTACTGAGAAACAGAGTAACGATATCACCATGTGTCCCTATAGTGTGAATTTTAAACTACTGCCTTCCAAAGTATGACTGGAGTTGTTCAGTGCCACATACTACAGCGTGACCAGACACACTGCAGCTGAAGCTAACACAGATCTGCTATTTGACAGTGAAGCGGACTTTTGCAAAAGAGAGGGGAAAGAGGACTTACTGCAGAACCTCTACTGTTACATTACAATTATCTTTTTCCTTCACCCTTCTTGATGGAGTCTCTAACAGGTTTATTCAGGTTTTGTTGAAGCCCAACATTGGGAACAGCCTTTGAAAGTCCCACAGCTCTCTCAGAAAGCACCTGATGAAAGCTCTGCAGTTCTAATCCTTTCGTTGTAATACTGAAGGAGTCACTGACTCCTCTTGGCTTTCTTACGCCTTTGCATTAGCAATTTATACCAGGTTGTTCCTTTGCAAGGTTTTGCTTCAAGGATGCTAAACAACGCTGGCAGGGGCAGACACTCAAAATCCTACTCCCCTCTGAAAAGGACTTTGATTGAATAAAGATCTGTTACAGTTGTAAAGACGATAGGTGCAGCTTCGGTACATCTTAATTTTCAAAAAACTTTATTCCATATTGGCATGGGCAGTTTGCTGAAGAGACAACGATCTAACGAGTCTAACGATCAAAAACGAGTTTGCTCCTGATGCAATCCAAGCCAACCCATGTGCTGGCTCAGGTGACTGAGCAGAACAAAATCATTCCTCTCTCTTTCCCGTTTGCCCCCAGTAATACAGTAAGTACCAAGTGGGAGTATCAGCATTCTTGGCTACAGCATTGCTAGCAAGCTAATGAAGGCCAGGACAGAAATGCTCATTTGTGAACCTGTCCCTGAACACTGTGTTGGCCCGTATCATGCTCACACGAACCAGCCCTCTCCTAGACAGGACCTAGGCAAGCTGCAGGGGAGGCTCAGGCCAGCGACCATTCCCCACCAGGCCACTCTGTTTCAGAGGAGAGGAATTCAGGCTAGAAAACACAAGCCATGTCTTGTCACTTGCCTTTAGGGCCAGAGAAGAGGCTTTTGTCCATTTTATTTACAAGTATGGACACAGCCCTTCTGAAAACGCAAACCACTACTTGGAAGTGGTCACTGATCTTACTCATGAGCCCAAGCTCCAAATAACAAGGCAAGCTTCCAGAAAGAAAAACGCAGCGGTATTCCAATGTAAAAATTAATACCTGATGTAACTATCTAGGAATTTGAGACCTGCAGCATGAGAGAATTTGGGAAGCCCCCGAGTGTTAAGAACCAAGTAGTTCCTTAGGCAGCAGAAAGAGCAAAGCTGGGCTTGCTGCTGCGTTGTGGCCAGGGGACAGATCCTGTGGTGTCTAAGGCAGCAAAACTACTCGCAGGTACTTCCCAGAGCTGGACGTTCATAATGCCTCTCTCTCTTCCACCCTCGTGTGGATTCTCTGTTATACTACAATAATATATATATTATTTACAATAATATTATCTGGTATAATCTAATAATATAGTTGAACTCTTGTTCAGGTCTCCCATCAGAGAGGGCTTGAATGTGATCTCTCTCCCAACTGCATGAAAGTTTTAAGAACTTAATATCTTTGAGGTTTAATAGCTACTCCCCTGCCAAATTTG